ATGAGGTCTGATCAGAGTAGGACTTTTTTTTAGCTGTCACTGTTCGTCCTGTAAGATTGTTGTGTCACCCTTGTTGTGTCACCTAAAGTGAATAATAATCATTTCTGGATATCACAAGAAAAAGACTGAAGACAGGAGATTACATTACATTGCATTTAGCTGACGCTTTTATCCAGAGCGACTTACAATAAGTACATTCGACCAGGAAGACACAACCTTGAAGAAAACAGAATCATATAAGTACATCAGGTTTCATAGAGCCAAACATTTCAAGTGCTACTCAACTGGCTTTAGATAAGCCAGTCCTTTATTAGTATAAAAGTGCTCTGTTAGCAGTTCTTTGTTAGTAATTCTATCGCTCGAGGTGGAGTCGAAAGAGATGAGTTTTCAGTCTGCGCCGGAAGATGTGTAAGCTTTCTGCTGTCCTGATGTCAATGGGGAGCTCATTCCACCATTTTGGAGCCAGGATAGCAAACCCACGTGTTTTTGCTGATGGGTTTGATTGATTGATTGAAAAGTTTATTAACAGCTTGTATATTGGGTACAGTACAGTACAGCTCAAAACATACAATTGTTAAGGGGATGCAGACCAGAGAAAGACTTTCGTCTTGTTTACATCAGGGCCCCCCATTTCCAATTCATCATGTCATTTAAGACATATAAGACATATTTGACATACAGATGGCTTATTTACAATTTACATACAGGTGGTTTTTTACATACAGATTGCTTATTTACAATTTTCATTTTAGATTTCGTTCTAATACATCCTAACCGGACATTTAAGACATACCAAGTCTACAGATATACAGTTAGTAACAGAGTCTAAAATGCGAGTATATACATAGATGGGGGGGGGGGGAAGCTGTCCATTGAACGACAGGTTGAGATTTGTACCATTACCGGGGCCAGTTTTGCAATGCTCTCCCCCGAAGGTGCTCTTTAAGAGAGGGTTTGAAGGTAAGTATAGTTTTACTTTCCTTTACAGTTGTGGGAAGAGCGTTCCACCTTGATGTGGCATAATTGCGAAACGTGTATTCCCCCTTTTTTGTGCCAAATCTGGGTTTCACATGATTTGTGGAGCTCCCTCTGGTGTTATGATCATGGTATTCCTTGACCTTTGGGAAGAATTTTGACATGTACATGGGTACCATAGAGGTGTACTGGATCTTGTAGACCAGGCCCATTGCAAGTAGCTGTACTCTGTCGTCTATTCTAAGCCATCCTAGGTTGTCAAAGTGAGAGGTGAGGTGGGTTCTAGATGAAAGGTCAAGCAGTAGTCTGACCAGTTTATTTTGCGATGTTTGAAGTTTTATTTTTAGCGCCTTGAAGGTGCTATGGTACCATGACGTGCAAGCATAGTCATAGTACCCTTGAATGAGTGCTCCTGCCAGAGTTTTCAGGGTGTTTTTGTTTACCAGAGAGGAGATCCGGTATAGGAATCTAGTTCTTTGATTGACTTTTTTTATTACATTGGATGCCATTTTGTCACAGGAGAGGTTTGCCTCAAGAATAGATCCTAGGTATGGGAACTTGGGTCCTCTTCGCAGCGAGCTGTTTGGCTGATGCAGAGCGTAGTGCACGCGCTGGGGTGTACGGTTTAACCATGTCCTGGATGTAGGAAGGGCCAGATCCATTCGCAGCATGGTAAGCAAGTACCAGTGTCTTGAAGTGGATTCTAGCAGTTACCGGAAGCCAGTGAAGGGAGCGGAGGAGCGGAGTGGTGTGGGAAAAATGTGTTTAATTGCAAGAAAACCACAGTCATTAACTACAATGTCTTTACATGATCACAGATATTGTTTAATCTTACATTATTCCCATATTCTGTCTGGTTCTGGAAATCAAGAGGTGGCTTCATTTCATTTTGAAGATGTGGTCGACGACCAGCAGGGCCTGCTTAGAGAAATATATCAGGACATATGGTGTTAGTTGTTTTCTGTGAATGCGGAGCTTACATGTCACTAGCAACACATGTGTGTATCTGACAACCCTAAAATGGGTCGTAAATGATGCTTTATATTGGACATACTTTCGTTTAAAAAAATGGAATGACCTGTTTGAGTTCATTTGCCTTTCTTTTTCATATCCTGCAATGTCACTGATTCGCACAATGCCATGTCGGTGCTGGAACGATACGCAGTTACAGACGCTGCTGATTACCAACTCAAACGCACCACGTGAGGTCATGTGAAGCCATAAGGGGTTGCAAACACAGGGTCCCAGCATGCTGAGCAGAAGGGTGGAAGGACATGAATATGATGAGAGTGTGTAGTGTGATTGTGTGTTTGTGAAAGTGCACTCAGGTTACACTGGTACTTTTATCAATTTTCAGATTTTATGAAACACCTTGTTAGGTAGTCGGCTCTCTCTTTTGTGCGCTCGCTGCTCTGTGCTTCAGTTTGTGTTTTATTTTCCCTTTCCTTTATTTTCGTTATTTTTCCAGGCTATCTCCTCACAGTTGCCCCATGCAGGTTCAAGTGACATCCACTTCTCCTCTTACCCTCCTTTCCTCCCCCCTTCTCCCCGCCTATATCCTCAGAGGTCTCCAGCTTCTATCTGGGCGGATACATTAACATCTCTTTACTGTTTCAGCTCCTCTTCCCTTCAAAGCACAGAAACCTCACCTTCCCAACCTCCCCCCACTCTGATCTCTAATAACCAAACTCTTAGCCCCCGCCTCAGCCTCTCCTGGCCTCGCACCCTCTCGCTCTGTTGACTTCTCACTGTGCCCATGGTGGAGTTTGTTTGTTCTCTGTGTTCTCTATGATTTCCTGTGTGTGTTCTGTTCTCGTTGTTTTGTCATTGTCGTGTTGCATTGTTGTCGTGTTGTGTCCCTCCATCCTCTCCTCCTCACTCTGACCCTCCCAAACCTGGCTTACACTGTGACAACTGTGACGGCGTCGCCCTCCCTCCCTCCTTCCTCCCTCTTCTCCTCCGTCCCCCCACTTACCCTTCGTGCATCCTCTCACACCCATCTTCCTCTCCTCTGTCTGTGTCTGTCCATTCTGTGATGTGATCCCAGAAGACACGGACTCACCAGGTTGGACGAACTCAGGTCTGTCCCCTCTTCTTCTTCTTCAATCTTTCTTTTCTGCCTCCTCCTCTTCTTCTTCTCTCCTACTTTTATTCAATCTGTACCCCTTCTAGGCCTTGCCCTCCCCACCCACCTCCCCTCATCTCTTGTCCCGCTTTGCCTGCTTCATTAGTGCTCCTAATTGTTCTGCAAATGATGCTTCTTGCTTCTCTTGCCATATCTTTTTGTTTTGCTGCAGAGAGACTGTGTCTATCATATCCATGCTCATGCCACTGTGGTTTCGTTGACATGAGTCATTATCGTTTTCTAAAAAAAACGTGCCGTGTTTGTATAGCGGCAGAATTCTTCTTATTTGAACAACTCTCTCTGTGAACACACATTTTCATAATTCCCCTAAATAAATGTGTGTTTATAATTTACGAACAATTAACAACAACAGAAATAAATATGTTTTTATATCTGGTTATAATTCAGCACATTTTAGCTTCGACAGAACCAGGCTAGCATTTAGTGCTAAGCTCAGCGAAGTGTCTGCTGACTACATATTTACTATACTCACATTAGAGGTACCAATCTTCTCATTAAACTTTAGAAGTTAATAATGATCACATTCCTAAAACTGTTCTGTTAACTTTACATATTGCCCACTTACTCTCCCCTAATAATTGGAGGGCTGCTTATAGAAAGGCTTGCTGTACCAACACTATTCATCTGATCTGGCTTTAAAGACCCTCACATCACAGACACGCTGAACGCTGCAGCTCCACCCACATAGCCATTGTTTAATTCCAAATCCAATGAGCCTGAAGACCAAGTCAGCACACTTTGGAGCCACACATTAACCTTCAAATCAGCTAGACAACAATGGCTGAACCAAATGTTTGGTCCAGAGATGAGGCAAAGTAAATGCTGACATTACAAGCAGTTTCCTAAATGCCTCTTACATGAAATGACCCTTTCCCTGTCATGCTTAGACACCTCAACACATGGCAGGGTGTGGGCTGTGAGAGTTCCCAGGAGCAGGGTAGTAAACAATAAACCGAGAGAGATTCATTCTATTGAATTAAATGAACTTTGCCTTATTCATTTGTTCTCAGCTTGTATTGCTTTTCTTTGTCTGTGTGTGTATGTATTTGAAGCTTAAGGCATATTGTATGTGTGCATGGCACTTGTACATGTGCATTCATCTTCACGTTATCATTGTCATCAAATGACACAAAAGTAGAGAGCAATGAGAGAATGGAGAAGCAGGTACTGCAGGAGAGCCATCATCTGGTGGTGACATGAAGCACTCGCAGCAGAAAGTGTTTGTTGTCAGGTTTAGGTTAGTTCTTCTGATGCAGTGGTGTTATTACCTCAGCAGAACAAGGCTTCTGTATTGATTATAGTGGTGTTTTTACACTGTCAAATTGCGCTAGCAGCAATATTCAAAAACAAAGCACAGTGCATAAACTGAATTAATTTACAAAGCACTAACATGAGAAACAAACTGATTTTGCAACCTTTCAGTTTGAGCTATAAGGGATGTGTTTTCCAAATTCAATTTCTGTTAAAGCAAAATCCAGAATGTTATGTAAAATGTGTCCTAACAGTGGTCACACGCATCGCTGAAATCTGTCTTTTCCACATGTACAATCAGTGTCCAAGCTGTGAAGCAGGAATCAATACATTGTCCAAACTCATTATTCTTCAGTCAATTCAAAAGAATATTCCAGAAGGTTAAAATAACCTGGAATTGTTCTAAATGTAGCTTGTGTCTGTTGTGCCGTTCACCTTTACCAGTCAGTACTGTTTGTTTCTTTGTTAATACAGCCGACCATTCAGCTTAACCCCATTGGATCTGTCCTTGTCACAGCTCATGGCTCATAGCAGAAGCTTGTCTCTCACCATAACAGTACGTCCCCCCCATCAGGCCCTCCTCACTGCCTCAGCCCCCCCTCTCACAGCCCTCTGTCTCTGTGCTTAGGTATGGACATGGAGGAGAGGACCCGGCAGATGAAGCTGAAGATGAACAAGTACAAGCAGGGAGCGGGCTCCGACTCCAGACTGGAGCAGGATTACCACAAGGTAACCACACGCTCACAGACAGTAACACGAACCTACAGTGCACTGTTTGCATGGCTGCACTGTGCATAGGCCACATGGCACACTTTGCACACATGCACAACATCATTCTGCGCATGTGCATTAGTGTACCACAGACAAAGTCACACAAACAAAGCACAACAGGGTAGGGCTGCTCGATTATGGCAAAAATCATAATCTCGATTATTTGGGTCAATAATTGTAATTGCGATTATTAAATACGATTATTCATTTGATTTTGAAAACATCCATTTATTGGAGAAAAAAAAAAAGTGAACACTAAGTATAATTCAACTGAAAAACCCAAAAAAAAAAATATATATATAAAAAAGAAAGTAATAATAATAATCAAAAAATAATGGTTTTATTTTGATTACGTTGTTTTCGTAATCGTTGCAAGCCATAAACGTAATCGCGATTAAAATACGATTAATTGAGCAGCCCTACAACAGGGTTCAAAGGTCCACTCAATTAGTCCCACTTGTTTTTTAAAGTAACACAAGTAATCATATATTTGTTTTGCTTTTATTAAAATCAATATATCTGGAAAGCAGCATACCTTTCCATAAACAATGTCTTAGTCAATCTGAAAAGTTCCCATGTTTCCCAACATTTAAAAAAACAAAACATCAATCACCATAACACTGTATATATAGACTATAATAGTAGTTCATGTTTACATATTTAGATAATTGTAGTGTGCTGAGTAAATGGGACAACTCCTTTGGAAAGACACTTTTGTTGCAGAAATGTCATTATTCATAGCTTTGGCCGACACATGTAGATTCCTCTAAATATTAGTATCAAACTAAATGTGTATGTAAGTCTCAAAACAACCTGAAGAAGTTGAAGACCTGAGCCATTAAGCCTTTTGTTGTAAATTGTGAGTGTGGCAGTGAGTGAGTGCAGAGTGGAGTGTTTGCTACTCTGCTCTAGGAACTCCTGATGTTTAGAGAGCTCGGCCTGCAGTCTGCCCCGAGCCGCACAAGACAAACGCTCTCTGTCCAGCTCTCCTTTTAAGTCTTTGCTATTTCAACTATTGCATTTGGAGCAGCCGATGTGTTTGCTACGAGTCTATAAAAAGCCTATTATTAAAGTCTGTTGAACATTATCCTCTTTGGAAGTGAAAGTGACAAAACAATGCTCCCACTGTTATTAAACCAGACGTGTGAGTGCTTGCTCTTAAAATACAACACACTTACTGTAACGCTCAGTGCAGATTCTCTGGCAGAAAACATTCCATCAGAAATACACACAGGCTATTATATACACAATCCAGCTGAAACATTCTCTCAAGCCAGGGTGATACTAAGTTAAGTATCCTAGTTGAGCTTCCAAGGGAGTGAGAGTGTAATAGAAATATATAACTGGTTTCCACATTATACTGAATCATGCATTTCCACCAGTAATACCATACACACATATTTTCAGTTAAAGTAAAAGGACCTTTTGTGTATCAGATTATTGAATTATAATTACAGATTATGATTATTGTTAGCTTTATCCTTTTTATCTTTCTTATTGTTTACCTTTTTATCTGATATGTGTCTTTGCTGTAAGGCTTTACATTTCCCCGCTGAGGGATTCAAAACGATTTTTGATTTCTGATACAGATACATTCATATTATTTAACCTATACTGCTGATTTGAATTGAAATACCTCCATGCCTATGAGACACATTGTCTTATGTTGTGAACTCCTGCAAGATTCAACCTGCAGACTCCTACTTTCTGTCATCTTGGTTTATTGGCCTCTAATCTTTCAACAGTGACCTAATACACCTTATGTAACAGCATTTTCAATAATATTCATAATCTTTACTCTTCTGACAGTTGAACTCAAAGGTCTACTTTCTCCACCCCCCCCCTGCATCAGGACTAGCTAAAAAAGCTAAAGAAATGCTAACATTGTTTTCTTTGCGCTTAAAGGTCATACTCTGTCTTTGCATCTCACATTTAAACCCTTATCTCACAGTTTGAATAACCTTTTAAAAAAGTGCGCACACTCCCAATGATAGGCCCTGTGTCTGACCACGAGCAGCGAGTCAAGGCCCAGAAACTCTTTTTTGAAATAATGTTGTTCTCGACTTCTCCTCAGCGCTCAGGCAGAGATCCCCGGGGCTCAGATAACCTGTCGGCCAAGTCATCGGACAGCGATGTAAGCGACGTGTCCGCTGTGTCGAGAACCAGTAGTGCCTCTCGGTTCAGCAGCACGAGCTACATGTCTGTCCAATCCGAAAGGCCGCAAGGAAACCGCAAAATCCGGTAAGCCGTTGAACTTTCTTTACACTCATCAGCTGTTATCAGGAATGGACAAATCCCCCTCCACTGAGAACCTGTCTTTCTGTACATATTGCCAAGTCCACACGTTTTCAGCTTTGAAATCGTTTGCACCTGGTTGAAAGAGGAGAATGCACCGCCTAGCCCTGTGTGTCATTTTCTCACTGCAAGAGTTCAGGTTTGGCTCCGTTTAGATCAGATCTGGAACCAAATGGTGGAACTCTGCTCATTCAGGTTGTGGGGCAAAGTTGTCCATATCTGGCAACACACACTGAAAACATAAAACACATTGCATCTCTGTGTGTGTTGTCTCATATCAGCAGCAAAAAGCTAGTCATTTGCACGTTGCTTTCTGTCATTTCTGTTTGCTGTTACTTTGAATCAGTCTGCTTTCGATCGTGGCTGCTCTGTGTGTCTGCGTTTGTCTTTCTTTCTCTACTTGTTGACAATATTCATGCTTTGTTTGGTTTTTCTTTCTGCTTTGCATGTCCTGCTCTGTTGCTTCTGTCTCCGTCTTCAGCCAGTCTCGGGAGGGGGATGAGCAGTTAGGAGAAGTGAGGGAGGAGGAGGAGGCGGGCGGGGGAGGAGGAGGGGAAGGGAGAAGGGCCAGTACAGATGGGAAAGTGCAGGGGGGGAGGAAAGGGTCGGTGGGGAAGGTAGACACAGACAAGGAGCATCAGGAGGATTTGGTGGAGAAAGAAGAGGACTTGCGCCAGAGGAGTATCTCAGAGACTGACCTCAGGTAACACGTGGCAGCCTCTAACTTTGGACTCCCACTAACCATGATTCAGACCTGGAGATCCCCCTGCCTTCTGCACGTTCATACAACAGTGCACAAAGCAGAGTGTGGTGACCATCCTCCACCCTTCACTCTTGATAACTGTGGTCCTGCTTACCCTTACCAATACTAAAGGAGAGTAGTAGTACTGAGCTGACAACAGTTTGGTAAACCATGCAGCCTGTTCACACATAAATACGTATTTGTTATTAAATAGTAATTATGTTTTATAACTTGTTCTAGTGTTAGCATTACATGAACTTATGATTTATAGGAAATTGCTTGTAATCCACAGACCTTAATGTCAACAGATTACATGAATGCTTTTCTGTAACTTTGGTCAAAAGAGTGTTGCTGTTGACATTGGGGTCCATGGATAACAGCCAAGAGATTCCCTCTGAAGGGATATGCTGCTGTTACTTCTTTAACAGCACAATACAATACAGGGAAACGGAGGGCAATCAAAATTCCTATTTTGTTTGGGGTACATCAAAGGCCCATTCCAATAACAATGCTTTGATTTCTCTTATTGCAAAGAGTCTGTCTGATACCACATGGTTAGCTTTGCCTTCTGGAAGGAAATCATTCAGCTCAGAGATTTTAATGATGCATTTATATTATAACATGTGGCATGACAAAAGATGTCTTGATTGTAATGAATCTCACATACATGACTAAATACATGTATGGATATCTTCACATTTTAAGTTGATGCATGTGTGGTTCTCACATATTAAAACTATATTTAATGGAGCACTATTTTATTGTAGCCTCAAGAGAGTATGAGTGCAGTGCAAGTATCAAAAAGTATGTCAAGAGCAAAGTCACAAACAAATTGACTTGGAATCCCATAGTAGCATAACTGCTTAGCCAGCTAATAAGAAGTGTTCACGAGCAAATCACTTTCACAGCAGGATCCGATTTAGTGCTTCCGCCCACAGTAAGACTGCTCAGTGTCTGTTTGGACTTGAGAGAAAACACATTAAGATAAAAGCTACACACTCTTGTGGGATTAACACTGCACCAGTGTGCGCGCTCTGATTAAGAAAATGCATCCCACATGTGGAGGCCTAATGTAGCAGAAAGGTCCACTCAAGTGTGTTCAGACACTTCATAGAACACATATAGGAACAGTTTAAAGTTCAAATCCAGAGACAGTGTTATCTATTGAGGCTGCAGTCTGCATTGCTTTACTGTCTGTCAGTGCTGCTCAGTGCTGGGATGTGTGTCAGTGTTTTGTCTGTCTGCATTTTGTACATGCTCTCTGAATCCTACAGTGTCACACTGCACCTGCAACCTATCAACCCTACCCCCTCACCCCCACATTCCTCCTCGACCTGCCAAGGACACTTCTCTCTGTGTGTAACACCACAACCCTCATTCATAGACCGTCAGCCAACAACCGGCTCACTTTCAATCAGTCACTGGAAACTAAAATAAATGTGATTAAAATAACGGCATGGCAGAGAATCTCTGAAGAAATATTGAAATGAAGTTACACAATTCCTATTTCAAACGATATGTTCCTTCTCTGCTGAAAGTGAGCTGGATTGGTTGGCTTTTAACATGCTGAGAACTCTTATATGTGTGATCTACCCTAATTCCTTCATGACAGCTACAGTATAAATCTATAACATACTGACTTCTTCAAATAGCTCCAAATAAATCAAATGATCAATAATAATCATTGAAGGTATTTAGACAGAAAGTTGAGCTTAATTACTTGACCAAATAATAATGTCTGTAAACAGTTGGAACAGTGAAACGTGGTTGCTAAGCAGCAGTATTTCAAAAGTTTGGATCACGCATTTCCCTTCAGATATCAATACACAGTTATTAAAGCAATTACAGCAATCACTGTGATGGACACAGACGAGCAAGATCATTGCACAAGAATACATATAATATGCACTCTTATTATTATTATACGCTCAGTGATTCTCCAACTCTACAGCCCATTCAACCTTAAAAAGGAAATATAAAACAGTTCAATAAATGAATCCCTCTCTTTAATGAAACATTGTGTCCAATATGAATGAGATTAGAGCTGAAACAACTCATTCATTCAACTATTTGAATTATTAATGCATCATTTAGTAATACATGTAGTTCTCTTTGGGTTTTAGACTGTTGGTTGAACCAAAATTACTTTAGGCCTCAGTCAATTCTAATGCCCATCATAGATCCAACAACAAATCAATTGCTCGAGAAAATAATGAACAAACTAATATACAATCAAATAAATGTTGCCCCAGCCGTTACCAAGGTGTTCAAGTCCAAATGGTTTCAGCGATCTGTTGGACTTTTAAACAGAATGCTAGAACTGGCCGGATAAAAAACACAATGAAACTGTAATTACAAAGTAATGACCACCTTATACAAGTGTCAAAGCCACAGATCTCAGGATCCCTGAGCTAGACAACATATAGATTGTTGTATATACGTCATAAGCTTGAACAGTATGATCTGTCTGTATGTTCTGAGATAACAAAAGGGACTTTTATTGTCCATGTACTGTTATGTAAGCTCTGCCAGTGATGACATTCACATCAGCCTGTACAATGAACTTAAACAGTTGACATAGCCTTATTATAAGAGCCTGTAAATACTGAAAGCAATCAATACTGTGTAGGAGTCAGGAAGTTGCTGTGCAAAGGATAAGATGCAACCTGCCTCCAGTGATAAAAGGTTCATTCAGCGCTGCGCTTATCTCTGCGAGAAAGCAACGGAGTGAAGTGATTCGGCAGAAACGTCGCTACTAGCTGCATTTGCTTATGACTCATCTTCTATGTATTGAGGTCACAGTGTAAATATGCATCTGCTGCACATTAAACAGGCCTGTTCACATAGGAAGTGTGCGAACACAATGATAGCCACATGAGCGCTCTCACAGCTCAGAGAGCCACACGCTCTGAGCGGACGCTGTGTCCAGCCGTCCACAGGATGTAAGGAGCTTTCCATCAGCACTTTTAAATCCCACATCACCTCTACTCCTCCATGTCTCTTTCATCACATACTGTTGCCTGGGTAATGGCTCATTCATGCGAGGGAGAGTAAAGACTGGTGCTTTGAAGGACAAGGGCTGATCACCTCCACAAAGCAGGAGCCCCACCTCATTCAATACCAGCCTGTCTATTGAGAGGCCTGTCTCTGATGATAACTTCACCGTGAGCTTTAATTAATCACTTCAGTCCCTGACAAAAATACCTTCAGAATTGTGTTGACAGGCATGAATGCATGCTAATGCTGTGGTCTGGGCACAGTTGCCATGGTAACATGTTTTTCTGCCTCACCTGATGAAGAAGCAGTGATGTCTTCTGTGAAAGGCGAACGAGATGAGGGTACATGTCTGAGAGGATAGGAAGCACCTCGCATGACTTCACATTTACATACAGCGCTTTTGAAGCAGCCATAAAAACAGCATCAGTTTGTTCCTTGTTGGGTAATAAAAAGGGCCGGCTAAGAGGTTCATTAAAGCATAGAACTGCATTTTGTTTGGCAGTCATATGTTGAGGTTAACAGGACTATTTCTCACATGTAAACATCATTTCAATTACAATACTTTAGGGCTAGTCAAAAAGAGAATATTGCGCCTATCACAATGTTCAAGTACCAGCAACTGAACTGAGTTAAAGCAATATTTACATCATACTAACTAGACCATGCTTGATGGGAAATGTCTAAGGCTCAACCAGAACAAGAACATATTGTACCTGAAATGCTGTACCTTGTTTTAAGTCAAAAACACATTTACCTCAAAGGTTGCCTCACACCAATCCCTACTAATGGGCTTAAATCAAATCAAGTTTTATTTATATAGCACATTTTTAAAACGATTTTTGGTCGAGCCAATACGAGTACATGCAATAAAAACACTTTACTACAATAGCAAACAGAAAACAACAAAATAAAAAATCACACACAGGGAAATGTCAGGAGTCGTGCTCCGCTCTGAAGGCCAGAGAGAAGAAGTGAGTCTTAAGTGTAGGTTTAAAAACCCCTAGGGTCTGGGCCGACCTCACATGGAGGGGCAGAGTGTTCCAGAGCCTAGGGCCAGCTGCTGCGAAGGCACATTTTGCCCAAATAAAATACTGTTATACAATATAATATACTAAATATAAATACCTGTAATCAAGTATTACAAGTACTTGACTATACTAGTACTAGTATATTGTGATATATATTGATATTAAGATATGGAAGGACCATTATCTGGATAGAAGACTAAAGGTAACATGGCACCAACACTTTTACACGCAAACATATGCGTCCTGGTTTTCCTTAGGAACATCTTGGCCTAGATGAGAATGCATGGCGAGCGATCTGCATGATGAGGAGGACACTGTGTTCTTTGAGCTGAGGTTGAAAATCCCTGTAGAGTCTCAGTTTTCCAAACAGGCACATGTATACATAGAGACTCTGCCAAGCCCTGTCCTGAGGGAGGGGATACAGTAATTAGAGGAGGTGTAAGAGGAACACTGAGGAGATGCTGGTACATTTATGTTCATCGTACATTTAAGTGACAGCTCATTCACAAGCCATAGTCCGTTTGCACTATGCCCGAGGGAGACCAACTATTATTTGTTGCTTTATTTGTCATCTAGATTACCATCAAATTGACATTTATTAGCTGTTTAAAAAAACATTACAGCTGTCCCAACACTTTTCAAATGAATGTGCGACTTCAATTACAGTGCACATGTGTATGATTCAAAAACACTATAATACATCTACTGTTGATAGTATAATTCATCCATAGCCGAAAACAGTATTGTGCTGTTTAAATCTATATTAAAATCAGAAGTGGTTTCAGTCAATTCAACATTTTTAACAGGCCTTAAAATAAACCGGCTGATCATGTAACGGTGATCCCCAAATGTTTCATATTTTAGAAAATGTGTGCTGCAAACTAAATGTATTTGTAAGGTATTGAACAATCTCTGTGCTTATCCATATTAAACTCAGCGGGCAGTAATCTGCCGAGGACACGATGGCCCTGTCCTCCTGACCTTGCCGCTGTGCTTTGATTCGATGCAATAGGAGAGGCAGAATGGTCGCCCTGTGTCCACCACAGGAAATGCAGCCTCACTGTGATGACAGTGAAAGAGCATATTTTAGAATGTCACATGCACCTTGCGACCTGTGGTGTCGTCTGGAGTCGAGGCGCTTGAAGTGTGCTTCAAAGCTCCCCCGCTGCATTAACTGATCAAAGGCACTAATCCTCCCAATAAGCATTCAATATTTATGTATTAAAGTACAGACTGAGCCATAACAGAACCCTTTGGCATTTGAACTGGCATAAACAAAGGGCTTCATACTTCAGGCTGAGGCTCACAGCTGTCTTATAACACCGGCAGCTGAAGACCAAAACACTGTAGTACATATAAACATCCAACACATGGTGTTTAGGACAGGAGTTTCCTTAGAAATCAAAGGTGGCAGTGCACAATGTTCTTGTCACCAGTGAAAACATCAACAACTTGTACACTCGTGAAATATATGGTTGCAAATATTTTTGTATTATTTAACTGCCTGAGAACATGAGCTGCTCTGTCTCTCTTGCAGCATAGAGCTTCGAAACACAGCAGCCAGACCACGAATGGTAGATTTATACGTGCTTCGTGCTAAACCTCCATCTAACTTTAACATTTCAATTAAAAGCATCACTAACCTTCAATGTCAAGGTAATGTGATTTCCCTGCCTGCACTTGAAACCCTATTACAATGCCAGACATAATCTTTATTAAATACTAATCATTTTCGTAATTCTAATACAATGGAGTGGAACACTAATGTCTAATGTATGAAAGGGCAGAATCTGAAGGAGCTAATTGAAGTAATTGATGGAGTCCGCATTGATTCCTTTCCCATTTTAGTCAGCATGCCTCTCCACGAGTTGTCTTTATAAGACCGTCACATGGTGGAGGTCAGACACTTTAATTAATGAATAGTAGCCTGAGGGCGCTACACGTAACTCATCCCATTAACAATGCAGAGCCTATGATACAGAATGTAATTTGTCTCTAAAAGATAACTAGAGCTAAAATAAGACCCTCATTTGGACACTGTCCTATTTCCCTTCAAAGAGGGAGAGCTGGAGGACAATGTTGAAGACAGAACACTTTTCTTTAAAGTACGTCATGACTGGTGCAGAGAAGTGGCCTTCTATCTGTTTATGAAGAAAAGCAAGAAATCCTTAAAGTGTATTCTAGGTTGAATGTAGATGAACCAATACTGAACACAACACATAGAAACTAAGTCATCCTAATGCTTGAGAATCGTTAGTACATTTCATGTGAACTATTTCAATTGAAATGAATGGTTTCTATGTAAATTGGTCAGACTTTTCAAAAATGTAATTGGACATAACAAAACAGGTCCACATTGAAGACACAACCTACACATATTTAAAGGTAGTGGAGGTTTTGAAAGCTAGTAGTGATTTGGAGCAAAGTTGCAACACATGGGTCCTTTGTTCTTGTGCATCATGTACATACAAGGGAAGTAGATGAAGACTGAGCAAGAGAACATGGATGTTGGAATTGTAGCTCAAAAATCATATAGACATTTTTTAGCAAGGAAGAATGTACATTCAACAAAACTCCAAACTAGGACGGAGTGGAAACAATGCAACTAGGTGTTCTAAAAATCTCAATACAGTACTCGACAAGTATTTATCCTGGAGTTCAACATTGTATCCCACAAATAGTCTGAACTTTTTTGCAAACTTGAACTCTTTTAAAATGTTTAGAAAATGTAATTTAAAAGTAAACAACACTCACTCAACTGAAATCTTGCTCGTGGTGCACAACAAAGTAAGTCCTGAATCAAAGGGTATCCGGAGAGCGCCAAAGCTATATCGCAAAAATGTTTGAAGTGAAACTTAATTTGTGTATGTGATTCGAATACACTACGGATTTTCAAATGGCTTCTGCCATGGCCTCTGCTGCACCCTTTCACTACGTTTCATACAAAAAGGGCGCCTGTAGTTTTCCTGGAATCCTGTTGACGAACCGAACCAAAAATATAATCCTTAGTGGAGGTGAAAATGTTGTACTAGAATAATACTGCTGCAAATATCCAGAGCTAACAGACAAACAATAACGAGCTTCAAGACCACGCACAAAAATAACAAAGCTATTAAGTTGAGTATGTTATAAGGAACAATCTCTTACAATATTCAGCCATGCACTTTAAACCCTCAGCTATACTGTAAGTCATGAACTCCTGAACCTGAACTCTGTCCTTCTCTCCTTTTCACCCCACGCCTTCTCATCTCCTGTCCTCTCTCCTTTCCTTTCCTTTCCTCTCCTCCTGTTTCCTCCTCCATCATCTCTCCTTTCACATCCTCTCCTCTTGCCCTGTCCTTTCTCTCTGTCCTCACCTGCTGACCCCCCCCTTCCCCCCCCTGTCAATGGCGCTGGCTGACAGTGACTTTGCATCCAAAATGAAAAACAGGCAGATGGGCTCGACGGGCGCGGTCAACATGACCAAGAGCACAAGCCTTAGCGGCGACATGTGTAACCTGGAGAAGACGGACGGCAGCCAGTCGGACACGGCGGTGGGCACGGTAGGCACCGACGAGAAGAAGAGGCGCTCCAGCATTGGTGCCAAAATGCAGGCCATGGTCGGCATGTCGCGCAAGAGCCGGAGCACCTCTCAGCTCAGCCAAACAGGTAGGACATGTTCCACAGCCATGTTCTCTGTGTGTTCATATGTTCTGTCCGTGTGCGTTTTTTGTTATATGTGCTGAATATCGGGCTCTAATACTATTGCTCTCTCTTCCTTTTCCCCGCTTTATTCCCTTTCAGGAGATGGAGATGGCAGCATGTATATTCTCATTCAACATTCTCTTTTTCTTCTAGGTAACAACTCTCCTGGAAATGTGTCTCTCTGTCTTTTTCCCTCCCTCTTTTCTCTTCCTTATTCCTTTACTGCAGTTGTGTTTATTTGCTGCATAACGCTGATTATTTATTGTGCTTTGGCAATATTATATACTACATTTCTTTGTGGCTGATCACATTTTGTCACCTTACTCATGTTTTGAAGCTCTCTGAATGATTTGTACATGTAAAACACTTCCTCAAACTGTGGCCATGTGCACTTGTTTGTATATGTTTCCTTGAGTGCATGTGAGAGTGTGTGGGATTGTGTTGTTGCTGAATGCCACAATATGCAATTACTTTTAATACATTTTCAATGTCCATTTGAGAGGGTCTGAGCTGTGTGGGCATATGCTACAGTAGCTAGACAATGTGAAGAACGTGCATGTGGCAATGTCTCTGTTCATGAGGTCAGTCGATTGGTCCACTTCAACTCAGCCGCAGCTCTCTGGCGCTTCATCAACTCGTTTATTCAGCCTTGAAGTGGTCACTTGTCATTTCTACAGATCTGCACTCTCTGGCTAGACAGAGTTTCAGAGCAATGGGGAGATGATGGACACACGTATGGTGAGGTATCATAAGGTGAGCCAGAGTGTGATATTTCCAGGTGAGCACTCCGCCACTGGGCTGCTGCCTTAACTCAGCGGGTTAGTTATTTGGAATGGTTTCTCATAACATCTACAGCAGCTTTTTGTGGCATTTACGTATGGTTCACTCAGTTATGGAAGACAGAGTGAGATCGCTCCTGTTCATTGACTGCATTGTGCAGCAGTTTTTGTGTTGTTGACTACTAATGATGCTCATGTTGCTGAATAAGATAACTCTTCTTCTGGAGTCTATTTTTGGGAACAACTCACATTCGTTCAGATTTTTATGTTAAGATACACATTTTGAGTTTCACAGGAACAAAGTTACACACACGCACACACTCCTTCCCCATGCAGGCAGACGCAGCACGAACTGAGTATCCTGGAGTTATTAATATTTCACTCTGAGTGCATCAGATGGAGTTTGTGAGAGCGTGCAATGCATACATCTGCCTTTCTATATCTGTGTTTGGTTCTGCACCAGCACAAACACTGCCAAGCTGCCTTTTGCCCTACTCCGCTGTGTGTTCTCCTGAGAGGCTCATCTCCCGCTTGATGGGCGATTTTAAGAGACTGCTCGACTTTTTGTGTGCACTGCCAAGTGCCGTGGGTGGGGGGGGCAGATCAGCCAAGCCGCACTACTCTGGCTCTGACAGAAAACAGGTTTGTCAGATGAAATGTATGTGCTCCCAGGTGGCCGGCCTGCAGGAGTGTGTACACAGTTTGCAGCTCTAGTCCTCGGTAAAGATACTTGATTTTTCAGGAAATACAAATGTGTCGTATCGTTATGTCAGAATAATGTTTGGAGTATATAACAGTCACAACTGAATATGCTTTTCTGGAATAACGACTCACTTTGTGCGTACATCCACAATTGAGGACTTGAGACTGGGTGCAAGTGGGCAGTACAGACCACAAGAGAGAGTAGATTTGACTTGTCCTCACACCTGTGGATTCAGCGTAACAGGTAACAGCATTTGATAACAACCTAGTCGTTTTGGATGCTGAATGGAGACTCTACCAGATTCATGATTGAGTTCATGTGGCTTTAATCATACAAACACAAACACACTGCTTAATGAGGCACAGCACAGTAACACACATTAGGCGCTTTCACACCAAGTACTTTCCCCAGGAATAGTTCCCGGAACTTAGTTCCCCGTAAATCTTTAGTTCCGGAACTATCTAGTAAATCGCGTTCACACCGGAATAAATCCCCGACGGAGGATTACGCAAATGAAGCCGCTGACGTCACTTCTTCTGCTTTGGGTTTACTGGCAGGCTGCAAACGGGGGCGTGGTTTGCAATTCGCCCAGCCAATCAGAAGTTGGAACCTTTTCCTCCCCAGGAAAGTACCACCTCTTTAGCAGGGACTAAAAAGTGGTGAAAAGGTTCGCAAAAAAAAAGTTCTAGTTCCAGATCTTTTTGGTGTGAACGCAAAATCCCAGGAACTATCGGAACTATTCCTGGGAAAAGTACTCCGGTGTGAAAGCGCCTATTGTCTAAACCAGGGGTGTCAAACTCAAATACACAGTGGGCCACAATTAAAAAAAATGGGTACTAGTGGAGGGCCGGACTGGTTCAATGTTTATTGCAAAACGTATTGAAATGAACTTATTGCACATATTAAACCTGGGACTAACAAAGAAAAAAATTATTGCATATAAAAAACAACATTAAACATGAAATAATCAGTTACATTCATTTATTATGGCTCTATCTGCAGCTTTTCCAGAGTCATTTCTTATGATTACATTTTCCCACAGGCCAACAACAGCTTCAAAAAAACTATTTCCCTCAAAGAAAAAACAAAACATGCCCTGCTGTCGTGAGAGAAAAAGTGCAGAAGGAAACATTGAAACTCAGTGTGCTGCTCTGTGATGCACACTAAACCAGATACTTAGCATCTCATCTCGGGTGCAAGTTCATCAATGTTTGAGCTCAGGCTCTGAGCTGAGGAAACCCTCAGGATTGAGTGAAGGTGTGCGTGCAATATACCGGCGGGCCAGATCTAATAGTAATTAGAAATTATCCTGCGGGCCGAAATTAAATCCACCAAGAGCCTGATTTGGCCCCCGGGCCTTGAGTTTGACACATGTGGTCTAAACAAAGCAACTGTCCTATTGTTTTAACCTTGATCCCAATCATTCATTTAATACTGAGTATCTGCAAATAACAAGTCATGATCCGATACTTGTATCTGCTCAGATTAAAATGCTGCACAGCATACACTTCAGTTCAGAAAAGTATTTTTTGTCTGCCTGTTCTTTAAAGTTTTCAGTTTTTTAAGAAAATGATAGCAAAGACAAAAGAAAAAAAGGATCATAGACAGGGATTGTTCTTTTGGAACAACCCTGTCTATGATCCTTTTGTCTTAAGCCTTAATTGCCTAATTACCTGGATTTTCGTTGAGTTGTGCATATTTTTGCGTGAATTACAAAAATGACTTTTGTTTACTTTTTGCTGCAGACTTTTGTTGCACGTGGCGTGGTGTGTGCACATACATGTTCTAAATAACAAATGTAATAGTTTCATACCGCAATTTAGTATAATTTATGGTGTAGGCAGAGGAGAAAATACAGCCAGTCAAGCTTGTTCAATAGCGGATCAATTAAACAAATACTTTGATTGGCCATCCCTAACATCTGTAAAATAAATTGTTAACTTTTTTAATCACTAATAAATGAGGTTATTTTTATGAAGAAATATAATTATAAAAAATGCGGTTGCTGACCAACAGAAACGCCTCAGTGTCACAATTTTCTGAAAATTAATTTGGGGAAAAAACAAGCCTGTGCATGTGCTTGTTTAAGCGCTTTATTGATCAAACACTGGTCATCATATGCAAGCTGAAACATCAATTTCATTTATTACGCTCAATTGTCCCACCCACCAGTCAGCAGTCTCTGCTCCCTGCTACAATAATGTTTAGGCTCCATAGAGAGAGGCTTTATTCCCAAAACACCCCCAGCCCAGCCGAGTCAGCTGAAACCAGACAATCACAATCAAATCCTGCAGCTTATTGAAAACACATCTCCATGCATTAATCCGTGCATTCTTCTGCTTTTACATTGGCATCTCAATAATCAGCATGCTTGCTCTGTCTATAAACGCCGGTGCTTTTACTATCTATGCTACTTATGCAAAATGGAGAGATTGTCATAAAATGGTATGCTGATACAGATGTTGTCAGCATTTTACAGTATTGACCCGCAGCTCACATTTATCAGTTCACTTATTGGCTGTGCCGTGGTGCATTCTTATGTCTGCTTAAAACTGCCTTCTTTTTAAACATATCAGCATTTTACACAAACACACACATCTCTTTTGAATGTTTTAACAAACTGTAAACAACATGTATTATGAACTGCATGTATGCTCTCTATAGTTTTTGAAATATGTATCACATGGCGTGCATGGGGTGATCTTCTCTGCTTTTACATAGAACATGTCGTCATGGATAATGAATAGGTAGGCTGTGTCTCTTATACAACACTGCGGATATATTTGTTCTTCTACCATCTTTTCACACAGCTGGAAGCATTCTACCTGATATTACATTTCGCTTTCCCCATATTAAGTTGTCCCAGAATATTAGAAAACAATGCAGAAAGAAATAGAAATTGGGCCTTGACAGCTGTGATATAGAAATAAGAAAAAGATGGAATCAGTGTTAGGGTTAGAGTATGTGGTAGAATACATTAGCAGTAGCATCTAGCTTCCTCTCCCTTGGGTGCAGCCTTGAGCATGAACATGATTCTTCTTACGCCCTACTTTTCTCTACCTGACCCTGAAAGAAGCTCATCATTTGAAACAAATGTGTCACTCACATGCATTTCACTCCATTGATTTTATAAATAGATATTTGAGTTATTTGTAATAATGGTGTTCCATGGTACCATAGCATTTGCTCTCTGCAACCTGGTAAATCACTGACCTACTTTTGCTTCTGAGAAATGATGAGGATTGATCAGATTGATTGAAGCTTCAATGCACTACCTGACACCTCGATCACACTGCTAGGAAGCTGTTAGTGATGGATACATGTCCTGTACATGTATGTGAGCGTGTATGCTTCTATTCCTTAAAAAAGATTATTACACAAAATGTCTGTATTTCAACTTTAATGTCAATCTTTCAGTTTGTGTGTACAGACAGAGAGATCGAAATGACGTTTCCAACAATCCCGCCTAAAAAATACAATTA